CTAAGACTGAAAATTGTCTGTGCAGGTCTGCGTATTCGGAAATCTCCCATATAACGGTACCTCCCGATATTCGGTATTTTGATTATTTCACCGACATTAATCACCGATGTTTTTTATTCAGGTTTCGCATTTGAATATTCTAATAGTTTATGCCAAATTTTGTTATTTGAAGTTCGTAATGGGTTCTACAGCCTATGACAGAAAATTGTCTGTTCAGGTCCAGGTCTTGGTATAGACCCCATATATGGGTACCTTATTTTGGTGATTTAAGCGACATTTTTAACCGGAATCGTTTCAAAATTTGGCGTTTTAAGTTCGTTATGAATACTATAGCCTAATACAGAAAATTGTCTATGCAGGTCAGTAGTGTGCTTATGGGGATGTTGGGAATTCACCACGATTTATCACGGCAAATTCTATTGGGGATGTTGATTTGGGTAAATTCACCACGGTGAATTTTAATGGGGATGTTGTCTTGGGAATTGTACCACGGCAAATTCTATTGGGGATGTTGATTAGGGTAAATTCTCCACGGTGAAATATATTGGGGATGTTGTCTTGGGAATTGTACCACGGCAAATTCTATTGGGGATGTTGATTTGGGTAAATTCACCACGGTGAATTTTAATGGGGATGTTGTCTTGGGAATTGTACCACGGCAAATTCTATTGGGGATGTTGATTAGGGTAAATTCTCCACGGTGAAATATATTGGGGATGTTGTCTTTTGAAATGTACCACGGTGAAATATATTGGGGATGTTGTCTTTTGAAATGTACCACGGTGAAATATATTGGGGATGTTGTCTTTTGAAATGTACCACGGTGAAATATATTGGGGATGTTGTCTTTTGAAATGTACCACGGTGAATTATATTGGGGATGTTGTCGTTTGAATTGTACCACGGCAAATTATATTGGGGATGTTGTCTTTTGAATTGTACCACGTCAAATTTTATTGGGGCTGTTGGCGTTGCTAGTTTTAATATGGACTACTAGATGGCGCTAAGTTTAGCGCAGACACAATCCAAAACTGTGTATGGGATGGTGAAATTTCAAGTTTTAATATTCACCACTAGCAGAGACACCCTCCGAAAAAAAAAAATGTATTATGATCATATCGAGTGGGGCTAAAGAGATTCACCATGTGAGAAGTGAATATAGCAGAAACACATCTGAAAGAGGTAAGTATCGAAGAAAATCATTTTATCTAGATGGCTCTCAGAATGCTTTTATATAGTCAACATGCTGATTACTGCAGTCAAATGTGCTTATTAATTTATTTGAAAACATATATTTCAAGAAATCGACTTCAATAAATGTGATATATTATAGAAGAGTTTCAATTGACAAATATGCTGCAATTATTGATATTTCAGGGGTTTTAATTTCAGCATAGATGAAAGTATAAATGAAAATATAGACAAAGAAATGACATCGAAAAATTCCGGAATAATCAAGTGAAATTCTTGAAAAAAGATAACGAAGTCGAGTGGGTTGAACACGAAAATCAGCATGTTGGCTATGCAAAACATGATGAGATAAAAAGACAAAACTAACTTTTCGTTGTACTTGTTTTAATTTGTCTATAATTTTAGCGACTCAAAAATGTTCAGTTATTCCCATCGAAACGATATAGGCGACATCTAACGGTGAGTTCCATCCATACTATCCATAAATTATGTTGTAGCATAGACACACTCCAAAACTATTGAAATATGATCATATCGAATGGGGCTAGAGAGATCCACCATATGAGAAGTGAATATAGCAGAGACAAATTTGGTTAGTATCATAGTCAACAAGAAGATGTGTGTTCTATTATTTTGTCCAGATGGCTCTCCAGTCATTTCCCTCGAAACGATATAGGCGACATCTAACCACCAATTAATGTTGTAGCATATACACACTAAAAAAATGCTGCTGTAGCCAATCAAAGCAAATTCTTCTTGTGTGGACAGGCATTTTGATACATTATATCGATCGCTTTTTGATAGTTTTGTCGATGAAGAATTTGTTTACATTATGTAGCAATTTGAGAGAATTGAAACTGAAAGAGTTTCATGACAAACCCTGCATCAATTCGGTATTGAAGATTGAAGGGATTTGAAGAAGGAAACACCATTGTTTACATTAACTAACAATTGGATTTCTGTGAAATGGATATGAGAATTTGGGGGGAAGCGTTGTTGCAGAGTTTCATGACAAATTCTGCTTCAACGATAGATTGGAGCATGAATGAGAACATGCTTAATTATGCTCAAAATTAAAAACTCTAGTAACTCTGTAATATTGTGAAATTCGCGTTAAATATTCGTATATATAGAAGACAATTTCAAGTAAGGCTCACAGTATAAAATTAAACATTGAAAGTGATATTATGGCGAACGCAGATTTAATAAACTTATTCAATTCTTTCAGTTATAAAAAAATAATAACTTTGAAAGAAATGGAGGATAACAAAGAATACAACATCCATGGCGCCTTTAGAACAAATACAAAATATGGGGAAAGAATTGTGCTGAAAATTAATGATGCTATCCTCTATTTGCCGTCAAGATTCCTCTCGCTGGCGGATGAATACATAAAAGAAATAGCTGGTGGGGGTTATTCTGTGACGAAAACTGTGTTGAAAGATGGAAGCGGAAAGAGTCTTTACAAACTAGAATTAAAACATTTGGATCAGCCAGATTATTTTTATCAACCATATTTAACATAAACTGAAAAGTAAATAAATATTTTGTTTGAAACTAAAAATTGCAAGCTGTTTTCATTTTAATGTGTACAGAGAAATATTTCAGTTTATTAGTGAAGCTTTAGAAAGGAAGATGTCTCTTCTTAATAAGGAAGACGAACGCTTAAAAACCTTTGCTCGCTGGCCTTTAAATTATCCAGATCCCAAGACAATGGCTGCAGTAGGACTTTATTATACTGGAGTAGGAGATATTACCAGATGTTATTTTTGTAAAGTAAACATTCATAGTTGGGATCAAACTGATTGTCCTGTTACTGAGCATTCAAGGTTGACATATCGTTGCCCATTGCTGGAAGGGCGTGAAACAACTAATGTCCCAACTATTTCAAAAAATTGGAATTGTACGCCTTCTGAAATTGGTGTAGATGTTTGTGGTCGTGGAGCGAGTAAATGTTCAACCATTTTCTTATTATTGTTCACTTTCATTACCTTTAATGCTTTAAATAAAGTTTTATGCAAATAATACAGTTGCTTGTTTTTATTTATTAACTTTATTAATTTCATCGTCTAGTATGTAGCCAAGTTCTTTCCAGTTTTGTTCAATGAATACAAATATCTTAAATATATTATTTATGGCACATTTAAATCTAGTGTCCAAATGTATAGGACAGTTTGTAAAATAATTTTGGCAAGCTCGAAGTTTCATATTATTTTCTAAATTTATAATGGTAGAATGAATATATTTCTGTAAAAAGATTTTCTTTTCTTGTCCAACGACAAAAATATATTGATAATTGTTCAATGGTGTAAGAGCTTTCTCGACATCATTATAATTTTTTTCTCCATCCGTCCAATCTAAGCCATTCACATGTGTCTTGGTGTAGGCATTTGTTCTGCATGCTTCCCCAGTAAGTTCTTTTATATTAAAAGGTGGGCGAAACAAAAAATAATCTGGAACAACAGAAGCACCACACATAAATGATAGTTCCTTCACGAAAATACTCTTGTGGTTTCCATGGCAATATTGAAAATCAACCAGTGCAATATCCGATCTATTGATTTCAATCATCTTCTTTGGAAAGTTGAATTTGAATGGAGAGGATATCATCGATGTTGGAGTATTTATAAAATTTTGTTCATGTCCAATAAAAACTTTAAACAAAGATGTCCACAATTGTATGTATGAAATCGTTGATCTCTTTTATAATTGTATGTAATAGCTGGTCCCAAATAGCGTAAAACTTCTATCGGGGGTTGAAGATTACCGAAACTGTCGTAATAGTCGATATTATTATTGATTTTATTATATGCCACCCAATGCGTGCCAGGTCCACTGCTAACATCCAAATTTATGATACCACATTCAATTCGATGTGGTTTCTTAGGTAGATTATCACGCATATAAACACCTCTAAAGTGAGGTATATATTTTTTCCCAAAAAAACTAATATTTACATCGGTTAGAGGACCTTTGGGTAGCTGCTTAATTAGTTTTTTGGAGTTTTATTTTCATCAACATAAATTCCATAGCCCTTTTTATATGGTTTGAGATAGAGACCTTTACCCATAGCTATAGCTTCTATTGTTTTGTTATGTCTGGTTTGTTCATCCAACTCTTGTTTGGCTTTTTTTGCATTTAAAACGGCATTGGTAATTGCTGAACTACCCGATGCTAAGGCTCCCAATGCTCCTAATCCAGTTAGAATGGGAATGAGAGGAAGAAATCCACCTCTTTTGGGCACGCTTATTACTCGCGGTATAGCGACCTTTGATTTTTTTCCTCGAAACGTCTTTTGTATTTCATGTCTGGCTATTTTTATGGCTTCATCAATATCAGTTGGTTTTTTGCTTTTAAGGGAACTTGTAGCTTTTTTTAAAGCGTTTTTAAAAAGTTGTTGACCCAATATTTGTTTGGGGTTTTTATTACCCATGCCTAGCTTTGTCTTAGCCTTCATTATGTTAGTTACAAGATATGCGCTAATTTTTTCTCCAATGTTACTATTTTTCGATTTTACTCGCTCCCAAGCCCGTTCAGTTAGTTCACGATCAGCAATGTGACGTTGTTCAATATCTTTATTTTGTGAATAGGCAATATCGTGTGCTCTACACGCTGCATCTAATGGATTAATACCTTGATCTCCTCTTTGAATACGTTTTTCTAGCTTTGTTCCAGGTCCACAAAATTGATATCCTGGTAAATGAAGTTCAACGGGTAAAGAGTTAATCAACTTATTTACCAGTCCTCCTCCTTGAACGTGTTTCTTTCTAATAAATCGCTTCGTGTTGTAAACAATCATTTTATACTTTTTAGCGGGACGCTGAACGAAAGAAATATCGATATTTGATTATATTATAAATATGAATGTTTTCTTAAAACTACTCATTAGTTTAAATCATGAGATTACTGGAACAACAAGCTAAAATAATTGTTCAAAATGTGGATTTTATGCAAAGAAAGACCCCCCGACATAGTACTTTGCTGCCTGATTCTATACGAGCCTTAATAGTAGGACCATCAAATTGTGGAAAGACTAATGTGATGCTTAGTTTGATAGAAAGCCCCAATGGATTAAAATTTGAAAATGTTTACATTTACTCAAAATCGCTGTATCAGACAAAATATGAGTACCTAAAGAAACTGATATCCACTACAAAGGGGATGAGATTGTATACATTTAATAACAATGACGATGTTATACAAACGGACGAAATAAAGCCAAACTCAATCATGATTTTTGATGATGTTGCATGCGATAAACAAAACAACATTAAAAATTACTTCAGTATGGGGCGACATAAGAATGTTGATTCGTTTTATTTGTGTCAAACATACACACGTATACCAAAACATTTATTGCGTGATAATGCGAATTTTATAATCGTGTTTAAACAAGATGATCTGAATTTAAGACATATATTTAATGATCACGTCGGATGTGACATTAGTTTTGAAGATTTCAAAAAAATTTGTCATGAATGCTGGAAGGAAAAGTATGGATTTCTAACGATTTCCAAGGATGACGAAATTCACTCTGGAAGATACAGAAAAGGCTTTCATATATTTATTCAACCTTAATATTATTTAATGTATTTGCAAATGTTAATTTATATTAGTGCACCTACAGCCATGGAGGAGGAAATGCTGAAACGGCTTGTTAAGTCCAGAAATGTCTTGAAAAAGAAATTTCAAAGCATTAAAATGGGTGAAGAAGCTAAAACTACAGAATTGAAAAATACTTTCAAACCAATAACGGAGCCAATAAACAAACTACTAAAGCTTTCAACTGAAAATACTTCCAAAATGATTATGCCTAAGAAAGAGAAAATGGAAATGTACAGAGATTCTATTATTACAAGTACACCCCTTAAGAATTATAAACCAGATGTTAAGTTAGATTCCAATGCATTGGAGGGGTTAAAGCATAAAGTAGATTACACACAAAATTTCGATTCCTTTAATACATCACAAGACGACGACAAATTTTATTCCAACAATGAGGAACCTATGAATCTATCATTCTTGAAGAAAATTAAAAAACTAGATGTAGTCTATGGTCCACACAAAGATAACAATGGAGAATGGAGATTTGGGGACCAACCACTCAAAATAAGCAATGAAAAGATTATGATTGGAAATAAAAATTGGGCATTAACACCCGGTTTGTTTGAACTGTTGTTTTATCAAGACCCCAAGAACTATGATCATACAGAACTCGATATTTACAAAACAATATTATTAGACACAAATGCGCATAAAATAAACTATGAATCTAATGGACGAACAAAGTCCAACAGGGGACAAAAATATAAGAAAATAATAAAAAATATAATAGAGGATACTCACAGCGGCAAAGGCTTACTGACAATAAATCCTGGTAAACCCAACTATATATACTGGGACGATCCCAACGAATTGATAGAACGATTAAAGCTGTTGTTGGCATCACAACAAGCCGGAAACAATAACCATACTAATGAAATTGTTTCTATTATCGAGGAACTGCGAGAAGGAAATATAATATATTAAATAATACTCTCAAGGAGCATACAACATATGACTGTTGACAAGTTTGGACATCATTACAATCAAAAAAATCAATCAATAGCAGTGAGAGAAAATGTTTCGAGATTATTGGGAGTCAATATTGATGAAGATAACAACCTTAACGTGCAAAATAAAAAGATTAGGAATGTTGCATCTCCAGCAGAAGGAGCGGATGCGGTCAACCAAGCATACGTACATACGCAAATCAAGCACATTCAAGAAATTTTAAAGAAAAATTTCATTCAAGAGTGCACCTTCCTAAGAGAAGAAATATCACAACTCAAACGTTCACAAAACGAAATATTTAAAGCCTTATCGCAAGCTCCATTCAACTCACCAGCTTTAATATATCATACCGAATAAAACAATGGAAAAGCGGGGTTTGGTAAATGAACTTCATCATCAAGCACGAAAAAACTTTCCAAGACGAAGGGTTATTACAAAGGGTATTGATGATCTCTGGCAAGCAGATTTAGTTGAAATGGGCAGTTACTCAAAAGCAAACAAGGGGTTCCGATTTTTGTTAACTGTCATCGATACATTTTCGAAATTCGCATGGTGTGAAGCCCTTAAAACAAAAACGGCAACGGATGTTTCTATGGCTTTTGAAAAAATCTTACAAAGAGGAAGAATTCCAAAAAATTTGCAAACCGATGATGGAAAAGAATTTTTCAACACAGATTTTAAAAAACTAATGCAGAAATATTCCATAAACCACTACTCCACATATAGTGTATTGAAGGCCTCAATTGTTGAGCGTTTTAATAGAACTTTGAAGTCGCTAATGTGGAAGGAGTTCAGTTATAATGGGAATTATCTATGGATTGATGTTTATAGAGAATTGGTTAAACAATACAATAAAACACCTCATCGAACAATAAAAATGGCCCCTATTCAAGTAAATTCATCGAATGAGAAGGCATTGTTGCAATCTGCTTATAACCACTTAAAAATTTTTAGGAGACAAAACTTTCGTGTGGGTGATCATGTACGCATTAGCAAATATAAACATCAATTTGAAAAGGGATACACGCCAAATTGGACTACGGAAATATTCAAGATAAGAACAATAAGAATAACAAACCCCGCTACTTATTTATTAGAAGACTATGAAGGAAATCCCATCCAAGGATGTTTCTACAAAGAAGAACTTTTACCCACAAAATATCCCAACACGTATTTAGTTGAGAAAATTTTAAAAACAAAAGGTAATAAAGTCTTGGTTAAGTGGCTGGGATTTTCAGACAAACATAATTCATGGATAGATAAGAATCATATCATATAATCTTAATATGTAGATATACAATATACAAGCATATATTTAAATAAATAAAAACCCATATATACGTATGCATATTTTGTGTTTCAATTATTACGACAAAGAATTTTGCAATGTCAAGAACGTTTACTGTGTCCGGTAAATCTCCAATTCTACATTCAACATATTTACCCCCAATTGAATTGGGAAATAGTAGTTATGAGTGTTGCCTAATAGATTTCCAATCATACAATTCAATACCCAATGTGGATAATGATAACAATCTCTTTCACATTGGAGACAATATTATAAAAATACCTATAGGATCCTATGAATTGCAAGATATTGCGAATTACTTGGAAACGGAATATAAAACTATCCACGAGAATAGATCCATTGAAATTAAGGCGAATAATAATACGCTAAAAGTAGAAATCATGTCTTCTCATGATCCTATTTACTTTGATAAAGAAAAATCTATAGGCAAGCTTTTTGGTTTTACCGAAAAAATCTTAGAATCTGGGAAAAAACATACTTCAAACCTTCAAGTCGACATTTTAAAGGTTAATGCCATACAAATACACTGCAATATTGTAACTGGATCATTCATGAATGGGTCGCCAACGCATATTCTACATGAATTTGCTCTTAATGTTCCTCCGGGATATAAATTGGTAGAGAGACCAATGAATCTCATTTATTTACCAGTGAACGTCAAAGAAATCGGTCGTCTGGAGATAAAGATAGTAGATCAAGAAGGTCGCTTTATAAATTTTAGAGAGGAAGAAATCACGCTACGTATTCATATAAGACCAATGCAATCATGATTATCTACAATAAATACAATCATAAACAAATACCAAGACACATTCAACACAAAGTTGTCAAACCGACAAGACCTACAATTTCAAAGGAAAATAAAGAGTTTTTAAAACTTATTAAGCTTAAAGTCAAACCAAATGTCTGAAATACTTAACATTAATGAGCGTCCATTCTCGGATGAGAATATTGTAAAGAGAGACTACCACAGCTATGTTCCATATATTCAATCATTTAAAAATAATGATGAAATTCGGATAAGTATACAAAATCAGGATCTTTACATACTTCCATCGGAGAGTTATCTATTCATTGAAGGAAATTTGAAAAATAGCAAGGGAGAAGTATCGCAAAATGCAAGACTGAGAAATAATTGTGTGGGATACATGTTTGATGAAATTCGCTATGAACTAAATGGTGTTGAAATTGATCGTACTCGTTATCTAGGAATAACTACAGAAATTAAAAATTGGATTTCTCTAAGCGAATCCGAAAGTAAGGTTATGAGCAAAGCGGGATGGAAAGCTGATAATGATTTATCAGTAGGATACTTTAATTTTTGTGTACCCTTAAACCGTCTACTAGGGTTCGCAGAGGACTTTGATAAAGTAATTTGCAACAGCAAGCATGACTTGATTCTTTTGCGTAGTGCCAACGATAAAAATGTGTGTTATTCAACCATGGATACGGAGGAAATTAAACTCACCATAACAAATGTTGTATGGAAAGTACAACACATTCAATTATCAGACTATAGAAAAATCAGCTTCTTGAAAACTATTAAGGATGGAAAAGCGTTGCCTTTAGCATTCCGCAGCTGGGACTGCTACTTTAATCCAACTTTTGCTGGTGGAAGACAACACAGTTGGAGTGTTAAATTGTCTGTCAATCATGAAAGACCACGATATGTTGCTTTGATATTTGAAAAAGACAACAAGCTGGAACATTGCGAACTTAAAAACATCAAAGTTCACTTGAACTCTGAAACCTATCCTTACGATGATTTGAATGTAAAGTTCGAAGAAAATGGCTATGCAGTACTATATGACATGTATACAAAGTTTCAACAATCATATTACATGAGGGAGCCACAACCACTTCTTACATATGCAAGTTTTAAAGACAAGCCCATCGCCGTTATTGACATTAGCAATCAAAACGAAGCTGTTAAGAATGGACCAATCGATTTAAAAATCCAATTTGAAACCAATAAACCAATTCCACAAAACACTTCTGCGTACTGTTTAATTATACATGATCGTCTGGTCGAGTACGTTCCATTAACAGGAATTGTACGAAAAGTAGTATAATCTATTTTATACTCACCTTTGCAAGAATATTTCAATAAAACGCAATTTACATAAATTTATAATCAAAAATATTTTGTTTTATTTTATAATAAGAATAGTTAAAGACTAGCTAAAATATAATACACTTATATTTACTTAAAAATTAAACATTTTGTGTTGCGAGAAAATATTAATATGATGACATTTATAGTGAGTAAAGACAATTAAATTAATATTATTACTATGCTCTTTTATCTATATATTGAAACTTAAATCATAATTAAATTTATATTTTAATCCAAGTCCATTGAGACAGATTCATTTGAGTTATTTACATTTGTTTCATGAAGGTTATTTAATCTATAGTGGCCCCAAGCATAGGTGTGAATACCATCCTCTAGAATAAATCGTTTATCATCTTGATGGCTTAGCGATATTTTAGTAATTTTGTCTGTATATATTGTATGCTGTCTTGACCTAAACGAAAACATGGTACCGTAAAAAACCTTTTTGTTATAAAGACATTCTCGATATTTATCTATAGTATACTTTTTTAGGACCGACTTTTTAACTCCCTTAGATTTTTTTACTTCTTCGCTATCAACTACATTGATGGCATACATTTTAGGACGAAGGCCTACAAATTCAACCATTGTTTTTCCGTCATTCTCATCTTTCATCATGCCAAGTTTTTTCTTATTAATTAGAGGAAGTTTATATTTATTTTCTTTTGAAAACCCTGAGGTGTCAAATCTAGCCAATATTTCATCTAAAGATAATTCGGAATACAAATTCCGTCCGTAAAATGTTAATATGAACGAATCTGTATCCATATAATTTAGAATAAAATCCTCACCAAATTTCACTTTTAGAAAATCATACAGAAAATCATACATCACCCACTTTGATAAATCTAATATGCAGAACCCTAAGTACAATGGTCTATCATATTTTACTCTGACATTCCTAATTTGAATAGCAACCATATTTTCGGAGAATATCGAAAGGCTGTGAAAATTTGGCTTCGAGATTAATTTACTAGCAACATTCCTTCTTCTTTGGTTTGCCTCATCTACCCACATTGTCACAATTTTCACAGTTTTTCTTTTGTCGATATTCTCCATTGTCTTACCGAATGAAGAGTTATTCAATAATTTAAAAAAATCTTTTTCAAAGGCATTTTCAGCCTTTTCCCTATGTTCATTATTCTTCAGTATGTAAGGAGCTAACCAAGCGCTTTGTGTGAAAGCCAAAACTCTATGGACTTTCTTAAGAATTAGTCCATGTTTCAGAGATTGCTTAAGTAATTTGTAGTGTATGGTGTATGATGTTTTGTCAGTAAAATCTGCAATCAGTTTTTCAGTTTTTGAGCCCTCAACACACTTTTTCTCCGCCAAAAAAGGTAAATCGTTATGTTTGTCGTGAAGGTGCGGTGGATATTCAATATCAACCTCTAAAATAAAACCAGTAGGAGCGTTGTCAGGAATAGATAATATTACAGCTGGATCATTGAATTTCTCCATTTCATAACCCTCCACCCATCTAAAATCTTTTTCAGGGAGACACTCAGTCATAACTGTACCATATAAATTATTTACATCCAAATAATAGATATTTACCTCTGGTTTGGCACTATTATAATTGGGAGCATCTTCATTATTTGCTACCGAGTGTCTGTTTGAGCACTGGGTAAGCCCTCCCCGAATACCATTTTTGCAGAAATTGTACATGTCTATATCTCTGAGTAGCTCAAGTTCGACTTTAGTACATAGTAGCATTGCATCCCAAGATAGAGATGGTGCTGTGAGATATTGACAAGGGTCCAGTTCGTGAATTCGCATACATAAGCTCCTGAAATTTTCAAATACGTCTGCTAAAAGCAAGACATCAGCTTTTAAATACAAATCCATGTAGTCTTGCATAGTTTGACATCGAAAATGTGACCAAACATTTGTTGCATGCCTATAATCGTCTGACGAGCATTCAGTATCTGTCAACTTATTATAAAATTGGTCTATAGGGGGAAGTTGTTTCTCCTTCAATTTTTCAAATGATGAAATATATTCGTAGGGAAATACTCCTTTCCTAGTCATAAGTTCGAATGCTTCATCATCAGGAAAATGAGATCTGATAGCAACAAAAGAATCTCGAGATAAATTCCTTGCTAATTTATCCAAACTAGTAGGCATAAATCGAAAACTATCTAAGAAACGATGCTCTAATCTATTCATTTTCTTTTTCTTCTCTTTTTTGCCCTCACTTTCCTCTTCTTGCTGGAATTCCTCATCATCTTCCTCACTCGAATCTTCTTCTTCTCCTACAACAACTGTACTTTTTAAAGAACTAGAGTCGGTTGACTCGTTATCCATATTAATGAAATAAGACATTGAAATATATTTTTCTTTGTTTTGAGGTATGACTCTTATTTCACCTCCAAATTCAACTAATTCTTTAAAGAAGAGGTGACAGTCGTACGAAGAAAAATTGTGGAAATATATTGGAATAAATTTAGGTAGATGATATTGCAGATTGCAATGGTTATGTACCGCACCTCGATATTGCCCCGTTAAGTGACAATGATCTTTCACCCTATCGTTACCTAAAATATCGCCACATATACGACAATTTATATCCCTAAGAAAAGCTGTCTCTTCTTCGGGTGTTAGAGTATTCATAGGTTTCGTTTTGGTTAGGTAACTATCATACAAAAATTTACAATCCTGAATTAGTTCTTTCAGAAAAACATTTGCTGCGTCGGGTCCACTATATATAAATAACTTATTTAAATTTTCATTAAAACTACATTTAATAAAATAACTAAAAGCACATGGAATATGCTTCTTTACCTTTTCCGTTTTTTTACTCGCCCCATTGTTCTCATCTTCCTGCACGTCTTCCAGTACACTTTCGGAGTCAGCATAAATAACGAAAGGCACCTTATCCTTTTTCTTGTGATTGACGAACTTCAGTACGGCTTCTTTTTTGTTCGGCAGGGCACAGACTACTTTTCCACACTGCTTTTTGTGAGTCATACATTTATTTTCATCGTGGAAACATTGCAGGCATCCAAAACAAAAATAACCTTTCTCCTTATGACTTGTGAATTGAGACCGCATAAGACTGAAAAAAAGAACAAATACATGATTATTATGATATGGTTTTGATTGATAAGTTTTGTTTTTAATTACCAAGACATATCCATAACCAAAATGTAATGAAAATTTTCTTCATTGTGCAGCAATATTAAATTAATGTGATTGCTTTTCGTCTCCTTTGTTAAGTAATATGGACCAACGACCGACTTGTTTTCATAACCGAAAACATTTACGCTGATCTCTGGGTTGTTCATTTCAAATTTTTGTATATATTTAAGACCCAATGGGAAATTTAATTGTTCGAAATTTAGCGATATTCCAGACTGCAGAATAATGACATCTTGGTGTATGTCTACGTTATATGAAGAGGTTATACTCGGATCTCCATATGCAGTTTCTCCCAATGCAACAACCATACACCACTTAAAACAAAAGTCATCATAGTTTTTGATGTTAAGGCACGCACCCTTCTTGTTGCTTAATGATTTCGGAGTTGGAATATAATGTGAGCCACGTGTTAAGTTGGCTCTCAACACATTTATGTCAAGTTTTAAAAGTTTCTCCAGGGCCCAATTAGAGCCTCTTTCTTGGAACTCTTCTGATTTAGCTATAATTTCCACACAGTGGTTGAAAACGACCTCTTCCAAATCATCTCCCAGGGTTAATAGCGTTGTTTTTGAAATATGATTAAATATATTTTCAATAGTTAACTCTTTGGAAGTTGAAGGTCCATCTTTTTCATTGTTTGGTTTCACATATAGTCCTTGGAGTTCCATATTAAATTTTATGAGCGTTTTACCGTTTAACTCATTTTTCAAGGTTTTAATTATTAATTCTTTTGAAGCATTAAGAAAATCGATCGGGTACAAAATGTCTTTATTGTTTTGTATCTCATAGCTGAGTATATTTTTGTTAAATGCACTTTTAACAATTTTTATGTCAGAATCCAGATTTTTTCTCACGGTGGATCGATGTTCTTCGCTACGAACGTGTGATCGTATATTATTCACAATTTTATCACAATCACCACAAAACTTTTCCACCTTCACAGCTGATTTATTTTCATGCTGCTGCTTTAGTTTTTCTTGTTGTTGATCACGATTTTGTTTCATTACATGCTCATCTCCATGATGGTTCTCTAAGTGCAATTCTAAATCGTTTACACTTTCACGTAAAACATCACAAAACATACAATGCTTTTTCATATGTTTCACAAATTCACTTTTTTCCTTGTAATAAAGGCTGCATGACCAACAAATTTTTTGAGACATTATAAAAACTTTTTTAAAAATATTAAGAAACGATGCTTATTAATCTGTGACTTGTTGAGTACTGAAATTTCTTCCAATCCAATCAATACATTATTGACTACATTTTGTAAACAAATAGAAATTCTGTGATTGAAGCAGAATTTGTCATGAAACTCTGCAACAACGCTTCCCCCCAAATTCTCATATCCATTTCACAGAAATCCAATTGTTAGTTAATGTAAACAATGGTGTTTCCTTCTTCAAATCCCTTCAATCTTCAATACCGAATTGATGCAGGGTTTGTCATGAAACTCTTTCAGTTTCAATTCTCTCAAATTGCTACATAATGTAAACAAATTCTTCATCGACAAAACTATCAAAAAGCGATCGATATAATGTATCAAAATGCCTGTCCACACAAGAAGAATTTGCTTTGATTGGCTACAGCAGCATTTTTTTAGTGTGTATATGCTACAACATTAATTGGTGGTTAGATGTCGCCTATATCGTTTCGAGGGAAATGACTGGAGAGCCATCTGGACAAAATAATAGAACACACATCTTCTTGTTGACTATGATACTAACCAAATTTGTCTCTGCTATATTCACTTCTCATATGGTGGATCTCTCTAGCCCCATTCGATATGATCATATTTCAATAGTTTTGGAGTGTGTCTATGCTACAACATAATTTATGGATAGTATGGATGGAACTCACCGTTAGATGTCGCCTATATCGTTTCGATGGGAATAACTGAACATTTTTGAGTCGCTAAAATTATAGACAAATTAAAACAAGTACAACGAAAAGTTAGTTTTGTCTTTTTATCTCATCATGTTTTGCATAGCCAACATGCTGATTTTCGTGTTCAACCCACTCGACTTCGTTATCTTTTTTCAAGAATTTCACTTGATTATTCCGGAATTTTTCGATGTCATTTCTTTGTCTATATTTTCATTTATACTTTCATCTATGCTGAAATTAAAACCCCTGAAATATCAATAATTGCAGCATATTTGTCAATTGAAACTCTTCTATAATATATCACATTTATTGAAGTCGATTTCTTGAAATATATGTTTTCAAATAAATTAATAAGCACATTTGACTGCAGTAATCAGCATGTTGACTATATAAAAGCATTCTGAGAGCCATCTAGATAAAATGATTTTCTTCGATACTTACCTCTTTCAGATGTGTTTCTGCTATATTCACTTCTCACATGGTGAATCTCTTTAGCCCCACTCGATATGATCATAATACATTTTTTTTTTTCGGAGGGTGTCTCTGCTAGTGGTGAATATTAAAACTTGAAATTTCACCATCCCATACACAGTTTTGGATTGTGTCTGCGCTAAACTTAGCGCCATCTAGTAGTCCATATTAAAACTAGCAACGCCAACAGCCCCAATAAAATTTGACGTGGTACAATTCAAAAGACAACATCCCCAATATAATTTGCCGTGGTACAATTCAAACGACAACATCCCCAATATAATAATAGAATTTGCCGTGGTACAATTCCCAAGACAACATCCCCATTAAAATTCACCGTGGTGAATTTACCCAAATCAACATCCCCAATAGAATTTGCCGTGATAAATCGTGGTGAATTCCCAACATCCCCATAAGCACACTACTCAGGTCCAAGTCGTCGTATATCCCCCCATATAACGGTACCTCCCTATATTCGGTAATTTGATGATTTTGGCAACATTATTCACCGATTTTTTTATTTAAGTTTCGCATTTGAATATTGTAATGGTTTATGACAAGAGTTGCCTATGCAGGGCCACGTCGTCTTATAGACCCTAATATAACTGCTTCATTCGGTATTTTTAAGATTTAATCAAGTTCCGTTAATCCGTTAATTTTATTGTTTTTTTTTTTTTTTTTTGAAAATTGCCAAAATCATTCCAAATGGTGGAGGGTACTCGAAGTTCGGCCCTGTCAAGTTCTTACTTGTTTTAGAATAAAAAATAAATGGTACAAATATATAAATTATTCGATCAATCGAAAACAATCGAGATACAATACAAAAATGTCCCGAAATGGAGTGGACCGATAAATCCCATCTTCACAGCAGATCTTGTGTTAGTAGAAATACTGGGATGTGTAAAATATGAAGTGAACCGGATGCTTATTTCGGATTTTATAAGCGTTTTGGCTATTCAAATCGTTGACCCTTTGTGGGGAGGTACCAGATGGAATGGTTCGATCTCTACCATCTTTATAACAGATGTTGTGCTGATACAAATATTGCGATGTTCCACGTCTAAATGGAATTGGATGTTAATTTCGCGTTTTATGAGCTTCATGAATATTGAAAATAATAACAAATGTAATTTTCATGCCCTTGGCCATAAATCTCGAAGGTAGTGTCCGATGTGATCCAAACTTGCTACATGGTAATATTATTATCAAACTTAAATTGAGTTCGTTGTTGAAAATATCCCTCAACTCCTTCTGGTATATCCTTCACAAAAGTTCAAAATTTTCAAAAAAAAAAAAAAAAAAAACAATAAAACACAATAAAACACAAGGAATGAGAAAAGATGATCCGCTTTTGCTCCAATTTTGCTTATCCTAATATTTCCGTTAGTGCTACGGAAAATATCGGTCCCCTCTATCAAGTACCTCCCCCACAGAGGGTCGAAATTTTGAATAATTATAACTCTTATAAAATGTGATATAAGAGTCCAATTTTCTTCAAATTACACACATCACAATACTTTTATTAACCCAATGTATAGTGTGGAGATTTAATACAGGGAGAGTTAAAAAAAACTGCAAGAAAGTCAAACACAATTTTTACATTTTTTTTTTCAAATTTTATTGAATGAAAGCAAAAATATCGGAAATAGCACCAAATTTTAGAATAAGTTTAGATTAGTTCGAATTGGTCACCTTTGGCACGAATTATGGCCTTGAAACGGCTGATGAAACCGTCACACTCTGCCCGAATGTTGCTCTGCGGTATTTTGGGCCATTCCAGACACAATAGTCCAACTGATTGGTACCCGGAGATTTTGGTGGCCATTGTGCGCTGGAAATGAAGCGAGGAATTTCATTTTGTAAACATTCTTGGGTGGCGCGTGCTGAGTGCGACTGTGCTGAGTCCTGTTAGAATGTCCAATGTCTGCGCCCAAAATATTTGCATGCCCAAGGCTTAAATACACCCTTCACAATATTTTGATAATATTCGACATTTATTCTGATGCCACGGTCGATTAATACGAGCCCAGCCATCACTATGGCCGGCGCTTGAGTTCTGGTGGCCAACCGAATGTGCACATTTTTAGCTGACCTCTTTGGCAAGTAAACACGGTCATTTTGTTTTTTACAAACTGCTGGACAACGAATGTTTTCTCATCGGAGACCAAACCAAATTCGGCAGTTCACCACTTTCGGCCAAGTGAAGCAACTCTTTAGCTCTTTTGAGTCTATTTTTTTCTGTTGCGGTGTAAGTTCTTGCAGTTTTTGGAATTTCAATGGCTTCATCCCGAGCTCATATTTCAATATTTGCCGAATGGAATATTGCGATAGCCATTTTAGGGCATCGCGAAGCGGGTTTCGATCAAGTCGCTTCTTTACTTTTCGAACCATTGCTGTTTTCTTCCGTCCATTTCCTTGACGTCGGGCTACGCTACCGCTTATAAACTCTTACATCTTTCTCCATTTGTTATGCTTTCGTTCAACCTGAACGAAGTAGCATAACTATGTAAGTTGGTTGTGTCTGTTACAACAAAAACCCCTTCGTCGACCGTGCCTTGTCTATTAATAGAACAGTGTTGGCTTGTTTGTTCGGGATACCATAGTATTTTGTTGTTGCAAAATGGTCAGGCTTAATCCCTTTATTGTTGTTTTTATAAAAATAACGTATGTTTATTAGTGGAGAACGATGGTAATGTTTACCAGGGGGTACGGCAGGGAATAACTAGGTTTCGGAAAGAGCCACCAATTCTCATCAGTTCCCCTGTTTTTTTGTCTGGGATATTCTCCCCAGAAGTTATTTTAGAAACATCAAGCCAACACTGTTATATTTAAAATATATATATATTTTTATACCCTCCACCATACTATGGAGGGTATTTTAATTTTGTCATTCCGTTTGTAACTCCTCGAAATA